TAGATTGCATCTTCTTTGTACCGCATCGTCCGGTCATCTTCTTCTTCCCCTATCCTCGCTTCTCAGTCTAGTCATGACTGTACTAGCGAAGGAGGACGTTGCTTCCCAGTTTCGCTCGCTTTCGAGCATGAATTCAACAAACGTCTCGGGCTCCAGCGGCCCGTTCGATAGGCGGTAAAGCTCATCTCTTTCCGCCGTGAATCGAGGGCAGTGAAAGATGACATGTTCGACGTCCTCCACTACAGGAAAGTTTAATTCTATATGCCTCCTTTCGATCCACGCAGCGATGTTCGGTATAAGCTGGTAAGTCCACCGTCCTTTCGTTGTGTCAGACCACTGAGTCTGCCACTTCTCCAGTGTCTTGGCGCGCTCGTCACTAGTGGCGTCACTCCTGGCATCCTCGCGACTATGCTCTATGAGCCTCGAGCGTTCATCAACGAGGAGGACCCACGGATGAGTGCTGGCAAGAACATGCACCGCCTAGTGGGAAATGCTGCAGAAGCATATCGCACGAAAACAGGCGCGCCGATGGATTGCTTCTGCCTTGTGGACATAGCTATGTGTTCCTGTGGCCTCTCTCCATGTTGGGGCTCCGTACAAAAGGACCGAGTCAACAACGCTGGTATAAAGCCTGCACCGGCAGCATCTCAGGCCCCGAATGTTGGGCATTAGGCCGGACGGGGCACCCGCGAACCGGGTGGCCTTCTCGCTGACGACTTCAAGGTGCTGATCAAATCGCAGCCTGTCATCGATGTGCACACCGAGGTATCGGATGCAGGGAACGGACGTGATATCGGAGTCACCAGCTCTGATGGTGATGATTTCCTTCACTTTTCTGCTTGTGGCCAGTAGAGCCTCGGTTATCTGATTGGCAGTCTGCAGACCCAGTTCGCTAAGGGCCCTACGCAGAAGCCGGACGGCGTCGTCTGCACTTGCCTTCCAATTCTTTGTCCACGATTGTAAGTGCGATGTCGTCTGCAAACCCGAAAATCGACGCTGTACTGGACAGCCTGAGTCCAAGGATCTTGTTGTACACGGCGTTCCAGAGAATGGAGCCAAGCACAGATCCCTGGGGGACACCCGATGTGACGCTGTAGGTATCCGCGCCGTCGTCGGTGGAGTACTCCAGTACCCTGTCGCTGAAGTAGCTCACGATGATTCGTCGGAGGTAGGGTGGTACTCTCATCTTCTCTAAGGCACTGAGGATATGATTCCAGCGCGCCAAGTTGGAAGCGTTTTTAACGTCTAGTGTGACGATGAAGCAGTATTTCTTCGTACCTCTACGATACTTCTTGCCACCGATGGCTGCCTTAGCCGTGCTTAGAACCTTTTGCACGGCGTCGATGGTGGACTTTCCTTTACGGAAGCCAAACTGAGAGTCTGCCAGTCCAGCAGGACCCTCTGTAAAGGCTTCAAGATGATCCGCAATAATCTTTTCCAGGAGCTTGTCTGCGGTATCTAGCATGCAGAACGGGCGGTACGACGAGGGCTCGAAAGCAGATTTGCTTGGTTTTAGCATCAAGACAAGCCTTTGACGCTTCCACTGCGCCGGAAAACATTCCTTAAGACATGCCGTAAAAACACGGTGAAAAACGACCATACGAGTTCTTACTGCAGCTTTTAGGGCAAGGTTTGGGACTCCGTCTGTCCCCGGAGCCGCCTGGTCACGCACCCTCTGGCGTGATCCACGAAGTTCCCCAACGCTTACCTCGGGGATTCGCTCCTCATACGTCCGGGCAGGCAAGCTAATCTAAAGAGTTGCAACTCTCGGGAAGAGCGCTGAGACCGCTCGTCGCACCAGTTCGGGCTCGCCGGGGAATACGCCTCTGGGGCCCTTAAGGCAGGACATGACCGTCCGGTATGGTTTGCCTCACACGTCACGGTCCGCCTCGTCACACAGCTGCTTCCAGCAGCAGCGCTTACAATCCCTTATGGCCGTTTGCAGATTACTGGCAAAGTCCTCTCGTCGGGCGGCCTCGTTGGCACGACCGCGCGCTCGCTGAGAGAGTCTCCGTGTCCGCAGGCATGCCCGCTGACACTCCGCAATGTCCTCGGTCCACCAGTAGACCGACTCGTACCGTCGGCGGTCATCTCCCTTTAGGCGTCGCAGGCTCTCGTGAGTGCGGACATAAGCTCGTCCGCCATTCATTCAGGGCAAGCTTAACGATCCTCAACGCTGAACATCATTTCTCCGAAGCAATCCCTGTTCATCATGCGGGCGCTCCACTTGCGACGCGCAGAGAGGCCGAATGCTAAAAAACGCACTTCATTCTTGCGTATCGGACAGTTGAGCGGAAAAATTACAAACAAATTTTTTTGTTGTTTAAGAATGTATGAAAAAACAAAAATCACTGTCCTCCTATATTTAACTATCAAAAATTCAATTCTAAGCCTTATCGAAATTAATGAAAAATTAGATAAATATAGCGTAGTTTTTGTGTAAAACACGAAAAGTGTAATGGTTTCTTTAAAAAAAACGACTTCGCACAATCACCTATGGAAAAAAAGTCAATGTTGTGTTTGATAGGTTTTTGTCATACTTTTCCAATGCTGTATTCAGATTTTAAAACTGCCTTACTTTCGCTAAGATACAGCTGTTTTTGTGGGATGCGTTTTTTTAGCTGAAAATTCAGTAATTCGGCTTCGAGTTCTCAAAAAACATTCTTTACAACATTCTGAAAAATCCATAGGAGCTACTGAAACAAAATTTGATCTAACTTTTATAGAGGAACTTTTGCAAAATTTTGGGTTTCGTGTTCAAAATTTATCATGTGTCAAAACATTGTTTATTATTAAAGAAGACTAGGTTAGCTTAAACTCAAAACGAAATTCGTCAAAATTGATCCTTAATTTGTATTATTTAAAAAATTTTGTTTCATTATTGGTGAAACAAAAACTCACAATGAATTTTCTTAGTTCTGGTTTGTTTTGAGTTCGAAATCGCGCTTCTTACTTGGACAACGCCACCACAATAAAAGAAGCATCGCGAGAGCTTCGTCAGCTTTTAGCCCGAGGTTCGACTCTTCGTCGACGTGCCAGTAATCGTATGTTGGAAAAAGGCATCGATTGGAAGTTTATCCCTCCTTGAGTTCCGCACTTCGGCGGTTTGTGGGAGGCGGCCGTTCGAAGCTTCAAGCATCATCTGCGATGGGTGATCGGCGACGCAAGGCTAACTTTCGAAGAGCTTTCAATGGTGACTGCGAGCATCGAGGCGTGCTTGAATTCACGACCCCTCTGCCCTCACAGTAGTTGACCGGATGACTTTAAGGCTCTTACATCGGCTCATTTTCTAGTGGGGTCTTCGTTACTGGACTACCCTGAGCCTTATGATGAGCGTACCCTTAGCTGCACGAGCCGCTGGAGGTTATTGCGTGGCATGCGCGACCTATTCTGGAGTCACTGGCGACAAGAGGTGCTCACCCAGAGTCAGGAGAGCTTAAAGCCAGGTGATATGGCGCTCTGATGGACTGGTCAGAGTCGGAACCATCCGGACAGCAGATTCGACTTTTACGTGCCCAGTCGTTAAGCTGATTATTGGCGTCTCAAAGAGAAGGCGAAGAAAGAATAAATTTGTTTTTCATTATAAAATTACGAGAAACTTTTTTCGGGAGTCTGTTTGTCAGTCCAATTATAATATTGTTTTTATATTTTTTATTTTATTATTGCTTGTGTTCGTAATAATATATTTTATTGTAATCGTTAATTAATTCGTTTATAATGATTTTTAGTATTTAATTGTGTGGAGATGTATTGCCGCTACATTGCGTTAACGGGTGTTATGTTGAGATAATGTTAAGTATCGGTATGTGAGGTGCGACTGTGTCAGGCGCTTGATGGGAGAAATACCGCTAAGGGAAGTCATGTTTGTGCGTATCGCAGTTAGTTGTCGATCAATCTGCTTGCTCGGTGAGTCAAAGGTAGATAAAAGAAGCCCATCTAGCTCTCGTCATAATCGAGCGTCACTTTCTTTTTCGCCGACTAGCTATATTGCATTACCGACCGGTTATTAGTCAATAAAGTTGCTATTTTTTTTTTTTTTATTAATTCATCAGCTAACGCAAATCATTTATTGTCCTACAACGGAACAGTTATTTTATCGCGTTCACTAGATTAACCCTTTACATGACCTTTGAATGACCTTAAATTGACCTTAAAAAGCCTGGGTATAGTCAAAATGAACTTAGGTTGAGTTTCAGCTACCCTCAAAAGAAAAGTGTGATTTTTTTGGATTTTCATATTGAATCTTTTAAGTTTGACCTTCAAATGACCTTGAAGTTGAGGTCGTAGAGATCATGTGACTTCAGATTTGAATCTCATATCTCATAAACTTATGTATGAATATTTTTAGATTTCTTAACCTTTTTTTATTATCTGACCTTAAAATGACCTTCAAATTACCTTTATATGGCCGGATACAGTCATAATGATCTCTGACTGAGATTTAGAGACCCTCAAAATATAAGTATGATTTTTTTCGAATATTTATATTGAATTCTCTTAGTTTGACCTTCAAATGACCTTGCAGGGGATCTCCTGAAGATCATCTGACTTCAGATTTGGATTCAGCATCCTCAAAAACTCATGTATGAATTTTTTCAGATTTTTCACCACTTTCCCTTTATTTGACCTTCAAATGACCTCTAAAATAAGCAAACCTTGAAAAACTGACCCAGATTCGAATTCAGTGACCCCAAAAACATAATGACCACTAATTTAGGGCGATTAATTAGTTTCTAATTTATTTATTTAATTATTCATCGTAACTGTCACGGGATCTTTTACAATACATACAGACATATGTAGGTATTTCAATGTAGTTTCTAAATATGTAACTCCAATTTTCCTACGACTATTGGTTCCAAATCTCTTTTTCGAGTCCATCTCATAGCTTCCTATATAAGTAAGCAAAATATATCTATGGTTTTATAATTTAAGCACTTTTCAAATAATTAAGTTTGTATGACAGAACTAATTTACAATGATAATTTTATCTGTTACAGTCTTATCTGCAAATAAATTGAAATGGTCTTTGAGCAGTGGAATGTTTAAGCCATTTGTAGAAATAAATCTTATTGGACCAAATCTTGCTGATAAAAAAAGAAAACAAGCTACCAAATCGAAGAACAACTCGTTATCTCCTAAGTATAATGAAACGTTCAATTTGTAAGTATATAACACTTGACTCAACGAAATCTTTCGAAAACTTTCAAACGATTTTATACCTTGAAACGATTTTAACCCTTGTGAAAAATCATTTAAATTCTGAACTGCTAATTCATTTTTTAAACCCATAAATGTTAGTTTTTTGGCTTAATATAACGATGGTAAACTGGCTCCAAGCCTGAAAGCCGCGGTTTAAGGGGGGGGGGGGGGGNGGGGGGGGGTATGGTCCTGACCTCGAAAAATTTTGATTTTTTTTTTATTGTTTTATTTGATTGTTTATACTTTTAAGAGTATTCTGTGAAAATTTCAGCCTAATCTGAGCACAATTGACGAAAATATTGAACTTTTAATTCGATTACTATATGCCATCTGTGGCATTTCACGTCAATTCATTTTGTTCAGAAAATTCGTTATAAATAAAATAATTTTCGGAAAAATCGAAATATCTCTACGTCAGTACCTGCTCAAAGGGTTTATAAAGAACTGTGCAAATTTTCAAAAGGATCGGTTGAATACTTTTTGAGTGACGTTCCTCACCGATTTGAAAAATCTTGACGTATAATGTTGTATCTTTGATGCAACGATTGCGATTCCTCGAAATGACATTTTTCAAATCGGTGAGGAACGTCCCTCAAAAAGTATTCAACCGATCCTTTTGAAAATTTGCACAGTTCTTAATAAACCCTTTGAGCAGGTACTGACGTCGAGATATTTCGATTTTTCCGAAAATTTTTTTGTTTATAACAACTTTTTCGAAAAAAAAGGTCGATTTTTCATGTCTGGACGCAATTTTAACGTTTTTTTCAACTTCAAAATTACGTCGAAATTCGATAAAATCACTATAATTAAAAAAACTCTACGTCAGTACCTGATAAAACTCATAAACTAATGAGGTAATTTTGCATTTTTCGATTCAGATGATTCTGTGAAAAGTTACGTTCCTCACCAGAATTTTCACGACTTTTCCGTAGATTTGTTCTCAAAGATCCAAAAATGAAAATTTTTTTATGAAATTTTCACAAAATACTCTCGAAGTCATGTACTTTCACATGTACATTGTAGAAATAATTTTTTTTTTTTTTTTA